AATGACTGATGTTTAAAGGGAACTGATCTTCTCAAACTGGGAGACAGAGGAGGGAAATACAGTAAGAAACTGCAGCAGAATATTTGAAGAGTAACTTGTAGAGAGTATTTATTGAAGGGCTATTGTCCTGCTCTGCATTACAGCACACATGTCTTTATTCTTCTGCTCACACGGTGCGTATTTGTGGTTGTGAAGCCTAAACAGTGAAGGAAAAGTATTAAAAATATGCATTGGTATAGAAAGACAAAGTGTGCTGGGACATGCAGAAGGTCAGAGAGACCAGGACCTGAAAAGGCTGCTATGACCCCCCCCCCAAAGCCTTAAAAGTCCCTCGAGGCCATCAATTGGAAATCAGTAACCTTTTGGATTTAATGGGTCCATTTTGAGCTCATTGTGAACAAAGACAAAACATCCCCTCCCCCGACATCAACACAACAACATGTGTCACGCAGAAGAAGAGCAGTCCTGTGTCTGTTTGTGTCAGCTGACCTGGATCTAATTACTGCCACGGTTGTTAAGTACTGAGTTAACTAGTGCGCATGCGTGTAACGCAGTTAGTTCTAGAGGAACGGAAGACGTGTAACCATGGTTGTTAATGTCGTGCATACCTATTAAGTAAAGTCTTAAACATGTACATTTGTCGCTGGAATTATTGAATTAACAACGGTATCTGCCAATCATGAGCACATAGTTGACTTTAGAGACGTGGAAAAACAACATTAAAAAATAAACAATGTGAATGAAGTTAAATGAGTTCGACTGAACCGCCTCACAGACAGACTTACTTTAATCGGCTGAAATCAATTCTGTCTTTTCTGGAGTGTTCTTTGTGTGACTGCAGACAAAGAGAATGTAGACGCTACAAAGCGACTGTCGCCTCTGCTCTCTTAATGCTGCGACCAAGTGGTGGCCTGGGGGGGGGGGGGGGGCAATCCACTTAAAGCCAGCCCATGAGTCTCCTGGGTCCTGCATGTCTCCTGACCTTTTTCTGTTCTTCTCCAGACGGTCAGGACCCTGAGGAGAGGGAAGAGGTTGTTGCCCTACTGAGCTCCTAATACAAGCAGGTCAGAGCGGCTTCCTCCAAGATCCAGAGGAAGATAAGAGGTTCCTCAGATGGAGAAAGAAAAATAATCCATAGTGCTGTCCGTACGTCAGAGGTTTACTGAAGTAACATCATCATTAATGAAGCTTATGTGTTTCATCTGAAGGATCCCAGAAGAGCCTTGTAGAGAACATCTGTCTATCTAATAGATGAATTAATACTTTATTCTACTACGATGTGGTCTGTAGGAGGGAAACAAAGGAAAGGGAAGATTCCTTTTTTCCATTAAACCCACCATATATATATGTTTGCAGCATACATTGGAAATGAAAGTGTAAACAAGTATAGGATGGCTGAATTATTCAAATTATTACAGTTGAAAGGTACGACCCCCACCCGACCCTCCACCTAATCCATCTCGTGAAGTCAGAAGTCTTCTGTCAATCAAGACGGTGAATGACTGCAGAAGCTTTGTTGTTTTTAATAAGAAGGAAACGAGGGTTTCCTGTGGACATCGTCTCCTGTCACTAGAGGTGACCCACAGTAAGTGATCGAGGTAATAGCTGGACGACGACCATGAAGAGGACGAACGGACGTACAATGTGAGACATCAGGACGGAGCTAACGAGACCGCTGCTTAATTAAGAGCATCATTGATGGATAAGTGACTTGATAAGGGGTTTTGGGGGGTTATTGTTCCTAGGGAGACCCGAGGGAAATCACCCAAGGATGGGAAGTGACCCACATTTGGGAAGAGGATAGATGGGGGGGGGGCGACCCCCATTCCCCTAACCAGCACCCCCACATCCCCCCCTGGGCAGCCTGCTGATTGGTTCATTACCCATAGTAAACACGTCTACCCTGGTACACACACACACACACACACACACCCTGCCCCCCCTCCAGTCGCTCACCCAGAGACCAGATTCCTTCAGCATCAGATTCATACATAACTCCACACTCTCTCCATCTGCTGGAATTCAGACTGCAGGGGGTCAGAGAATATTCCTTTGTTTGACAGGAAGTTTATAAACATATAGCAGCATTTCATCGATCTAAGAACAAGTTGTTCATTGATTAGATTATAACTACCATGACAAGAAACAAGTTACAAGTTTGGGTTTTTCTTTGTCTTCTTAAATAAAATTCATGAATCCCTTTAAATATGAAATTATTATTATATATTATATATATCATCAGTATTATCTCAAACACCATCCCCAAAATAAACTAGGTAACATACACCATTGTTTAAACAATGCATGACTGAACAAACATAACTCCACGTTTATAATCCATTTAGTCTGCACCGGGAGCCTCAAACGGCCAATTAACCAATTAATGAAGACGCAGAAGAGGGTTTTTGGGTCTATCATTTCTCTTTGTAGACTTTAATGGGAAATAATATATTATATCAATGTCTTTGTTTCCATTAAAGGAAATCAGTAAGAGGACAACAACACAAGCTTCTTGTTGTTATTGTTAACAGTAGTCGTGGTGAGGTGTGTTTGTGATTTCCTTATTAAATGTCAGGTATACATTGGAGGTGTTAAACATCCTGGGGGCCAACCTGTTAACTGATCTGGGATGTTTTTCCTTTCCCCCCATTAGCAGACAGGTGTATTTTATACCTGCAGGCGTGTTTGACACCCCCCCCCCCCACCCACACACACACACACACACACACACACACACACACACCAAGGTGGTCTGCTCTCACTTCAGCTCAACGCCACGAGCCCGATTCATTCAGACACTTGTGCAGAGGTGGGAGTCGTTCTGTTGAAACACATGTACTTCAAGTAGGTCTTCAGGGCTCCGAATCGGAGAGACCCCCCCGCAGAGACCCCCCCCCCCGCCTCCAGGGACGTGGATGGAACGCTCTCTGAAGGTTAAAGTTTCTCTGCACTCCACACGGTTTACCTTTACCATCGTGACCTCCCTGCTGACCTCCCTGCCTCCCTGCTCTCCATTGGCTGTCACTTCCACTCACTGCAGCTCCGCTGGGCGGGCTGCCCATTGTCCTCAGGCGGCGCTGCTGCAGCTCAGATGGAGGAGGAGAGGAGCGGCGTGCTGCCGTTAGAGGGCTGCTCTGGAGCCTTGCGATTGGTTCAAAAGGAAACAAAAGAATAAATCTCACAACGCATACAAGTATGTTGTGATGCATGAAAGAGATTTTTTTAAAGATAATAAGAGAAGAAGTAAACACGACAGGTTGAAATGAAACAAGATCATACTGTGTAATACATGCAGACACACCTGGCTCATTGGTACTAAATTAAGCTATTTTTAAAGCATCTTTATAAAATACACAAACTGCAAACTACAGATCCTGAGTCAAACTGGACAAGTGGAGATGTTCATGTGATGCCAAAGATGCATATTTACCCTTTTTCAGACGGCCTCACATCATATCTATCGACAAAAACAGTAACATTTGCACATAGAAATATATATATATATAATTAGCTTTAGGGAATCAATTCCCCATCTGTGAACCCATCGCCTCACAGACCACCTGTGTGTCTGTCTCAGTCTTTGGCGCCCCCAAGTGTCCACAGAGAGGAGCTCACAAATGAAACTATTTTCTGTTTTTATTCTCAGTTACATTAAAACTTCATAACAGGCGCTCATGAAATACATGTGAGTTATTTCAGCTGCCAGCAAGACTTTCACTGAATGAAAACAGCTGAAATGCTCAGCAGATTAGGACTTAGCTACACTACAGATATGCAAATAGGGCTGCAGAAATATCTTTTCACAGCAGACATTTTTGACTCATAGGAGGAAAAACACAGGTGAAATTGATAAGGTTAACAATGGCTCAGCAAGGCGAGCCAGCATTAATGCTATTAAGCACACGGTGCTTTTGCTACTGTGACAAAAAAGTGTCTAGATGTGGCTGTAAATCTGGTCAGCACGTTGTGCCCTTTGTTTTGTTATCAGATTCTTATTTTGTTCGACTCATAATGTCTCGAACCCGAACCTATTTACTATGTGATGAAATAGAATGATACTATTATAAGTTGCTTCCTGATTGCATATGTTTTATTTCACTGTGTTCTTCAAAGTGTGACATCCATTTGTAGATTCTTTACCTATGAAAGAAGAATTGAGGAAAGGGCCTATAGTGAAACTCTTGATTATTCTTGCTAAATTGTAAGTTTACAAGTCAAAGACCTATTTTTGTGTTTTTTTAGAAAGAGTTTGAATGTATGTAAAAACTATTACTGCCTGTGATATATATAATTACACAATCAATCAGAACTTGTGCTTTAGTGTCCTCTTTTTGTCCTCTTTCTTTATATTATAAATATATTTTCTTTCTGTCTATCTTTCTCGTCTGCGGTTGCTCCCCTGTTAGTTTGAATGTTGTATTGTGCTGTTTCTTATTGACAATTTGTGAAACTGTGCATGTGTAAATGTTCATTAAAAAAATGTAAAATGACATGTATTTGTATGCCTCACAGTACTTCATTCAGTACTTTAAAAAAAAACACGATTACCAAGAGGTGGATCTTCCTCCACCAGGTGTGTTGCATCCTGCTAATGATTAGTGTCACGTGATTGGTTATGTTAACCTGCCCGTCCATTGTTCAAACATGTCTGCTCTTATACACGTCTGTCTCAAATAAAGTGAGACAAGAGTGGCTCAAAAAGAGACCTACAAAGATGAACCCCTGAACACATCACCATCATGTTAATAATATATAATAATAATAATATTATCTGATGTAATAAGATAAAACACATCAGATCCATGACAAACTATTAAAATTAGAAGGATAACATAAATAATTTAGTAATTAAACACGTTATTCTTCATTATTCAAGGTTTAAATCCTAAATTACACATTCACGACAAACTCCTCGGTCACATGAACGCACCTGCGGGGTCACGTGACCAAGACACCCGGGAGACCGTCGTGCACCTTCAAGTTTTGATTTTGAGAAGCAAAATAACCTAAAAAAGACGAAAGATGGATTCAGGAGACAACACCAGCATTATGAGTTGCCAGTTTTGCGGGGAGGCGTTCAGCCTGCCGGGTAATATATTTAAATTCGTTCTGTTACAGTTTAATATCGTGTTTTATCATAACTTACGTCCGCTAAAAAGACGTTAATTCACCTGCTAACGTAAGCTAGCTAACGTTAGCTAGCTAGCTAGCTAGCTAAATTACAGGCAAATATGTCAGCAGGCCCGTTTTTAAATACCAATAATTTGTACTTAACGCGTAAAATACAACTAATTATAGTGTCCTAGTGTTGTTTTCTTGTGCGGTGTGCTAAGCTAACGTAAGTTAGCACAGGAGGGCATCAGAATCGCGCGATGGTTGGAAACGTGATATTGATCAATGATTCTGTGACAACTGAAGCGTGATTGCAACACGAGGCGTGGTGTTAAAAACACTGATTAAAATATATAAAATATATATTTAAAACATATAATAATTATTTTAAAGGTGTTACAGATGTTGTTTAACTTGTAACTTAGCTTGTAATAACAAAATTATAATTTTATATGTATATTAAAATAATAATAATGTTGTACAAAATGTGAAAATGTGTGTTATTTAGCTTTTTTCAAACGTGTAACAAAATATAAGAATGACCAGGAACAATATACACCAAATTGCCATTAAATTATATAAATAAACAAATTAACTAACAGATTAAATATAAAAATAAATATGAAGTTGAATATAAAGATTAATCTCTTCATTGTTTTTCAACTGATGGTCTTAACCATCCGTTGATTATTCATTGTTAAAATCATTAACACTTTTTTACAAACTTATATAAACAATATTAATTAACATATAAACTAGCAAATTACAAAACAAACATATCAGCATGATGGTGACTCAACGTTATTAAACCATATTAAAGCAGTTTGTTTTAAAATTATGACAAATCATTTTATTTCATGAAATCAGGCAATTTGTGAACTTTTGGCAATTAATGAAGTACATTTTACATTATTTTACATTTGTATTATCTAGTAGTTGATGCAGAGCAGCTGTGCAGGTATTACTGTTGGATTGTAATGTGCTTTTAAATTGACTGGAAATCATAATTTAGATTTATGTTTTATTATTCCTGCTGGTCTTTCCTTTGTGTGTGTTTTCTCAGAGGATGATGTGGACGGTAACCTCCCCCGTATGCTCCTCTGTGCTCACATCTACTGCACGTCCTGTCTGCTCTCCCTCCACCACCACGGAGTCATTCAATGTCCCGAGTGTGAGGTAACGTTCTGCTTCCTGTTGCAGCGCGAGAGCTGCTTAAACTCAGGAACATATTCATTCTCATCCTCCAAGAATCTCATTCTCAACTTCAAAGAAACGGTTTTTAAAAACCTTTTCTGCTGGAAGATAAACTAGATATTGTACAATATGAAAATTAATATTAAATTCTAAAACAAGTGTTTGTAAAGCACACTGAATGCTCCACATGATGGGAATCAAAACAACGTCACTTTCATGAATGTATTAAGTTAAATGTTACGTTATATATTAAATATAATGGAGTAGAAACAGAGCATCGGACTAAAGTTCTGCTCTAACCGGAGGACACGGAGTCATGAACATAACGAGTTGATAAATCACACAAAATAACTTATTTTGTGATTTGAAATCTGTTTCTGAGAATTAAAAGCCTACAAATTATATTCATGCAACATAACTTCAACGTGTTATTCTTGAAGTCACTGAGCTTTGAGAAATGGTAAAAACATTATTGTAAAAAGTGTTGATTTATACAAGTATTAGCATGAATAACTGTTACTGTTTGCCTGTGTGTGTTTACGTTATTGCAATCAGTTGATATAACTTTAAAATATCAAAACTCGATAATCTTTTACTCACTTTACTCTGTTTTCATGTCGTAGTTTATTAGCGCTCAGCAGACTGGAGTAGATCCTTAAAATCAGCACCTTTTTGTACAGAATTGTGAATTGTTTTGAATCAGCGGTTGTTATGAATAGAATTGATATCGGATGTACGAGAAGTGAAACGGAGGAAGCAAACTGATGGAAGGTGAGAATGAAAAGACAACATTGTGTCTCTGCAGGTTGAGTCGACGCTTCCTGAAGGAGGAGTGTTCGGCCTGCAGGAGGACAGCAGGATCATCGGCCTCATCTACACGTCTAAAATGAACAGGATGAAAAGGTACAGCTGACACACCTGTGCTGTTTGTATAATATATTATAAAAGAGAGTTGAGTTCATCTCTGATAAGTGCTGGTTGTGTCTCTTAAAGGTGCGACCGATCAAGAAATCGCAAAAAGCCCAAAATATCACCGTCCAAAGACGTGAAGGCCGATACTGAGGGTCCGGAGCAGGTACGTCTGGTGACCACACGAGTCGCCTCAGCCCATCACGTTAACGTTCAAACTAAACTAATCTCATCGTTTGCACATCTCGCATTACACAACTTTGTATCATGAGACTTTGTCCCTATAACATGGATTTATATCATCAGTAGTACGAAAACGCAGCAAACGTTAAGTACAAAAACAGACCCAGAGAGGGATGAACGGATGGTTTGGTGCAGTGACTGTTGTGATTAATTCATCAGTCGATGTATGTGGAACTCCTCAGTTATTGTCATATGCGTTCAGTACTGACCCAAGAATAACTGCGGCGCAACCAGACGATCAAATGTCAATAACATGGGAAAATTATTCAATGCTGATATTGAGCTCTTGCTGTTGAATGAGGAGACAGAGAAAAAATATATATATATAGTTCATTGTAATAAAAAAAAAAGCTAATATCAACCGTACGTCTGCATTCGTCTCATCTACCGGCATCAAAACAGGAAGTCAGTGGTAAAGTAGTGAAGCCCCCCTCTTGCTCGATTCGATTGGCTGTCTGGGCCAAGCGTGACATTGACGAGCGAGAATATTTAAACTTTTAATGCGCGCGAGAGAGAAAAACGCGGCGCAAGAGAGGAGCGCATCTTTGGGTTTCTGTTTTCCAAAAAAAACGTATTTTCAGTCCATCTATTGATGGACGACTGTGAAAGTGGTGTCGCAATTCATATTCATATTATCATAAGCTCTTGGTGAACTTGTACGAACGCATTAGAAATGTTGTGTTTAAATAAAAGGAAGAACATTAAAGCACTGATCACGTTCTGGCCACTAGGGGGCAGAAGAGCTCCTAAACAAGCTGACAGAAACATTATCTCGTTTAACATCGTTACAGCCGACAAGCTGCAAACACAAGAAGAAATGTGCATATTTAATTAGGAATAAGAGATAGAGAAGATATAGATGAATATTTATACATCCCGGTTCCTGGATGAGCTGGAAGATGTAGCTGGTAAAAACACCCTTCTTAGATATAAATCCATGTCTGACGGAGACGTAAGAGTTTTACAGAATGTGTGATCATGAAACTCGATGAAGTGGACAGAAGGATATAAATGACGTGAATGAATTCAGATTAAAACGGTTAAAGTTCTGGTTGTGTTTCATGTAGCCAGCTGATGTGGAGAAGATTAAGTTGGTGGATGAGGCGTTGGAGCAGGCTGCAGAAAGTCACGCTGCTCTGGAAAATATCCACGAGGTGAGCGCTGCACTACATCCCATAATAAAATATTTATATGAGTATTTGCACACATCTGTCTATTTCTCAGGAATGTGGTAAAAGCAGTTCGGAGCCTTGTTGTCGGTGAATCTCTCACACAAACCCTGTAGAAGCTGATTTTGGACATCATCTATCAGAAGGTTGTGTTTCCTCTCTGCAGACGCTGACCAACGGTCTGGCTGAACAGCTGAGGAGAGAGAGAGCTCGGCTGGAGGCTGAGATCAAGCAAGCTGCAGACAAAGCTTCACACGCTGTGCAGAAGTGGTGAGACTATAAACTGTCTATGAAACCTGTGAGACATTCAGGGCTTTATGTCTTGAAGGGACAGTTTGGATGTTTAGTAGTGTTTGTATGAGGTTCTTCTCCACAGTCAGTGCTTTACTACAGTAGATGGAGCAAAGTGATGTTCTGCTGTGTATTTCACACATTAACACAAACTAACTGACTGACTGAGCTTTAGAACAACAGCTCCTGTGTTCTTAGAGGTGAAATCACTGTTTTCTTTTTAATGGAGTCTGGTGGTAAAAAACGTCTTCTGTTCCCCGCAACAAAGGTCCGTCTGACATCGAGGTAAAGAGGTGAAAATATTCTAAATATAGCGTCCACTTAAACTGATAGACATTCTTTTAAGTGTCTAAATCCCCCTGCTGGTTCTCCTGTCTGCTATCTACTGTAGTACGACACTAACAATGGTGAAATTACCTCATAAACACACCTCTGAATCAAACCGCCTGTCATTTCTTTGCCAACAGGAAGGACGTGCAGTTGAGTCAGCTGACAAAACTGGAGGCAGAGTTCTCATCCAGCCAGTCAGAGGTGAGCTGTGTGCAGAAGAGGATGAAGGCTCTGGAGATCGCCATGCAGATGGCCAGAGAAGTACGACGTGTCCCCATCCTGGAGCAGTACTGCACCCTGGACAAGGTACTCAAGTGTTGCACATCAGATGCGTCCAAGTGAGCACACAACGCACGGTCAGAAACTGAGTCGAGCAAAACTGATTTAAAACACTGTGGCTGCTTGTTATTCGTGTGTGGATGACAGGTTGTGGAGACGCTGCAGGCTCCGGTGGATAAACAGCTCTACGATATGAAATGCATCACTATGGGCTCCGGGATGAGGTTTGTCATTTTAACCCTGATGTTTGTGTCATTTACAGTATGTGCACGACACAAATATAAAGCAATAAAAAGTACAATAAACTAACTTTAGTGTGTGTGTGTGTGTTCGTTCTAGCTGTGTTTTCCGGTCAGAGTGTCTGAACCAGAGTCTGGAGATCTCTCTGAAAATGGAAGACGCCGCCCCAAAGCAGTGAGTCTTTAAATATCTTCCGTTTAGTTGTGGATGATATATTTAATATACTCGATGCG